AGATACATGGAGCCGCTTGTAGACGATAGCTCTCTGCTGCAGCAGCCTGAGGTAGTGGGGCCATTTGAAGAAGCGAGTGAGGTCTGTTTGGGGCTGGGTATCCTGCCCACTGCCGAAGTTCTTGGGCCTTTTCTCAAAGAAAGGATCGACCACCTTTTTGGCTTCTACGACGGCAGTGGCCAGAACCATCTTCTTTCCCTGGATCTTCTTTTCTTTGGGCATCTTGCTGGGCATTTTACTTCTATAGTACAGAAAACATAAGCTTAGATTAATGTCTTACAGTTTCACCTAAAAAAATTTAAAGCAAGATTTTTAATAGACAGCTGTAGGTAAATGTTTAAGAAAATTAAATTATGTTGCAGGTAAATGGATGAAGTTTTAAAAAAAAAAGTCATCTTGAGTGAAGTAACCCTAACCAACAAATACGGAAAATTTTCTCTTATATGTAGATGATAAATTTCAAGCCTTTAAAAGGTATGCTAAAATCTGTATAACCACTGAGGTTAAGTATAGAGTAAAGGACTGGGGGGAGAGGGGAAGGGTTTCCCAAGCAAGGGGAAATAGAATATATAGTTATGGAGAGAAAATGGAACAAAAGACTCCAATGGGGAGTAGGATACCTGAGGAGGGTAAAAGAGGGAGTATAGGGAGGGACAGGTACAACTATAGATGCTCCCTAAAATAGATGCATATTTGAAACAACTGTAAATAAAGTTACCAAATAACAGAGAAGACATTGCATCCACTAGCCTTTTTTTTTTTTTTCCAACTGAAACATTCAGTGCAAGGAATAGCTTATACCCATTCACTGGCCAGAGGTGCCCCATGGAAACCCCAAATATATCAGACTATTGCCAAGGCTATTAGTTGCTCTTCACAAACTGATAGTAAGATCCTATTACTGAAAACAACACTTCAGTATCTCGTTGAACACAGAGAAGTTGAGTTCGTGCTTAGCTAGAGACTCCACCCCTCCTGACAAGTGTTCATGCTGCTAGAAGGTACTCCACACACTACCAGAGGGAAGAAATGCTCACCAAGCCAGCTACAAACTGTGCAATCTACAATAGTAACAGGCTTGCAAGATAGGCTGCTGCAAAAGCGGCACAACGTTAGAGAAGTAACCAACCGCTCCCTGGTTGCATTTAAGGCCCACTCGACAAGATGAAAGCCCTGCCTGACACTGCTCTGTTGGTCACAAATCTTGGCCTGGATAGACCGTGTGCACAGCAATAAAATGGCTCTTCTACTAACACTCTGCTATGCCCATAGACCAGCGCCTCACTCAGCCTTTATCAGAGTAACTTCCTCTTGCAGTAAATGGGAACTAACATAAAGTTCCACCAGAGGACAACGTGCAGAGAGTGAGAGACTTCGAAACATTCAGCCTTAAACTGGATGGGTCCATCAAACCCATCCCCTCAGAGCCCAGGGAGCTAGCAGAAGAGGAGACAGAGAGATTGTAGGACCCAGAGGGGGTGGAGGGCACCAGGGAAACAGTGTCTGGCAGGCCTGTGACTGAGGCACATGTGAATTCACAGGGCGTGCTGCAGTGGGCACAGCTCCAGCCACAGCGTCAAGCCACATGAGGCTTGAGCACATAGACACCAGCTCCCACACCTGGCCAAGAAGCTCTCTGAGACTGACACCATCTTGCAAAGAAAAACAAATGGTTTCCCACAGTGGATTCTCACTGGGAATATTAGCCACACCTAAGGTCCATGCCCATCCGTAGCTGGTCAACACAAAAATAACACAGCGGTATTTTTATATACTTTTTCCTCTCATATCACTTTGGGGGGGCATTGGTTTGTTTGTTTGTTTTATTGGTCTTTTGCTTGAATATTATGGTTTTCTGTTTTGTGTTTTTATGGGCACAAGCCTGTGTGTGTGTGTGTGTGTGTGTGTGTGTGTGTGTGTGTGTGTGTGTGTTTGTTTCTGGCGACTTTATTTTTTTAAGTCTCATTTGTTTTTGCTCGCTTGTTTGTCTGTTTGCTTTCTAAAATGAAAAACAAAGAAAGAAGGAAGAAAGAAAGAAAGAAAGAAAGAAAGAAAGAAAGAAAGAAAGAAAGAATAAAAAGAGAGCATGGAGTTATAGGTGTCTGGGGACATGGGAAATGTCTGGGAATTGGGAGAGGAAGAACCACGATCAGAATATAACATATGAAAAATTTTTTCAATAAAACATAAATTTCAATAGACCAGCTAGTATACAAATAATTCTATACCAAAATAAAGACCACCTTGGCTACAAAAAAACGTAGAGTAGACATATTGACCTTAAGTGTTCCTCAAGGTTTATATAGGAAAAGCTTGCTTTTCAGTAATTTGTGATACACTCTTTCAAAACAAGTTTATTTTCCTTTCAAATTTGGGAATATATCTACACCTTTCTCCGAAAGTAACAGAAACTTTAAGACCTGACCTAGTAGAAGACATCAGGTTATTGATAGCAAGCTTTAGAAAGATCGGTCCCTGCTTCTTTCTACCTCATATACAATTTTTCCATAAAGTCAGCAGTTACAGCTCTGTTACATATTTTGGACATGCTGCCTTGACAGAAGTCCATCCCTGAGCTGAAACCTCCAAAACTGAGAGCCAAAATAAATTGCTTTCTTAACTTACTATCTGAAGCAGTTGATATGGTAATATAGAAATAATAGGTGGAAATAACACTTAAAATGGGCATGGAGAAGTTTGAGGGGGGAGAAAGGAAATGGTATAAAAATAGTACATATCTGTGGAATTTTAAAACAAACATTGAAAAATAATCCACCATAATAAAATGAAGGAGAGAAAAGCTGGGTTTATTTAAAAATTAATCAATATGTGGTTCACCACATTAACAAATTTAAAGAAAAAATCATTCAATAAACTCAATAATTACAGACAAAGCTTTGGGCAAAAACTAGCATGTACTAACACACACAAATTAGACTTCCACAGATGAGGACGTTGAGTGCTATCAAAGATATGAACGAAGTGAATTTGGCAGCTGCTAAAATATTTTGCAGTCACATGCAGTAAGACCCAGACATCACACTTATGTCTGCTGCTTCTTCAAAAAAAATTCTAAGCACATGTCCGTCCAAGTACCAGAAGCAAATGTTCCTCTCTCTCTGTTGCATCTGTAAGAATCAAAAACTGAGAATAAGTCAAATGTGTGAAAATGGATAGATAGATTCTTAAAAACATGTTGAGCATGTTTAATAAAAAAAGAAACATAACCTCAGTATGTTCACTAGCAAAAGAGTCTCAAGTACACAATAAGGACATTTGCTCAACCATGTTTGTAGCAGCCTTCTTTGTAATAGCCAGAAGCTGGAAACAGCCCAGATGCCCCTCAGTGGAGGAATGGATGCACAAATTGTGGTATATCTACACAATGGAATATTACTCAGCAATAAAAAAAACAAGGAAATCATAAAATTTGCAGGTAAATGGTGGAATCTGGAAAAGATCATCCTGAGTGAGCTGTCCCAGAAGCAGAAAGATGCACACGGTATATACTCACTCTTATAGACATATAATATAGGATAAACCTACTAAAATCTGTACACCTAAAGAAACTAATCAAGAGGGAGGACTCTTGCTAAAAATGCTCGATTCCTATCCAGAAAGGCAAAGAGGATGGACAACAGAAGAAGGAGAAAAGAGGGAACAAGTCAGGAGCCTGACACAGAGGACCTCTGAAAGGCTCGGCCCTGCAGACTATCAATGCAGATGCTGAGACTTATAGGCAACCTTTGGGCAGAGTGCAGGGAATCTTGTGAAAGAAGTGGGAAACAGTAAGATCTGGAGAGGACAGGAACTCCACAAGGAGAGCAACAGAACCAAAAAATCTGAGCACAGGGGTCTTTCCTAAGACTGATACTCCAACCAAAGACTATGCATGGAGATAACCTAAGACCCCTGCACAGATGTAGCCCATGGCATTTCAGCATCCAAGTGGGTTCCGTTGTAATAGGAACAGGGACTGTCTCTGACATGAACTGATTGGCTTGCTCTTTAATTACCTCCCCCTGAGGAGGAAGCAGTATTACCAGGCCACAGAAGAAGACAATGCAGCCACTCCTGATGAGACCTAATTGACTAGGATCAGAAGGAAGGAAAAGAAGACCTTCCCATTAGTGGACTTGGGGAAGGGCATGCATGCAGAGGGTGGAGGAAGGGAGGGATTGGGACAGGAGGAGGGAGGAAACCACAGGGGGGATACAAAGTGAATAAAGTGTAATTAATAAAGAATTTAAAAAAATAAAAAACATAACCTCAGTATGTACATTAGTAATTAATTTTTCATCATTAGCAATTAATTTTTCATTTCAAAATAAGCAATTAATAATGTATAAAATTTAATTTGAGGAATGTTTGATATTTTATTCAATCACTAGATATTGTTTTAAATTGTCACACTATATCCCACAAATAAGTATAAACATTAGGCCAATAAAATAATAAAAACAATCTTAAATTGGTTAGCTGGGTAAAAAAAAAAAAAAAGACTTAGACTTAGAAGTGATCACAAACTTCCTAATTTCATTTATTAAATTATATAAAATGCAAGGCAATCTATATTGATCAAAAGCAGTTAAACTGATACTTGGAGGATGTTGCTAGTGACAAATTCAGGAGACAAAGAACTAAAACTAAGATGATAGACCTTTTCAGTTAACTAAGCCCTGTGTTTGAGATATATAGTCCTGATGGCACAGGAGTAAGAAATGTTATAATGAATTACAATGTCCAACTAAAAAATTTTCAGATTGATTACATGAATTATATTCTGATAAAACATTGAAAAGGCAAAAGAAGATAAATATGCAAAATATAAAATTTGTTTGAGATATATCAAATAAAAATTTATAAAAATTATATAGTAGTAAAAGTCTAATTTTACAGCGAAAATAGATGTTTGCATAAGCTAAAAAATCAGGATGTATAAAACTGTGTTAACTGTGTTCTGTAAAAATAAATTGGCAAACATTAAAAAACAGCAGTGAGTCTTCCTTCTGCAGCACATAAACTAGAACTGAAATAATACAAAGAAGACTGGCATGGACCCTACACAAGGGTGGCATCCAAATTCATGCAGCATATTTTATTTTTGTAGAAATGACAAACTTATCGTAAAGGTTGGCTTGCATGCCCCACATACAAAGCAAAGAAGAATGCCTAGCCATGTGCTTGAGGTGTGGCATGAATCCTGTGGGGCATCCTTATAAAGGAGGTAATCATCAGCACACTGACGAAGTCTCTTCTATCCAAAGAGATGCTTATGTTGGGTGCAAGTTGGGTCTCATTGCTGCACACTGGATTGGGTGACTATAACTGTGAAGGAGACAGAGTATTAGAACTCAAGAGCCCAATAAAGTTTTTCTTTGACTAATTTTAAAAAAAAAAAAGAGGCAGCTGTAAAGTTTTCTTTATACAGAGCACATCTTCCTAAGTGAACTAATTATTTTACATTTAATTTATATAAATGGCTCTAAAGGAATTTGGACTGTTCTGGATATGTTTTAACTCTTCCCTTCTTAACACTGATACATAGTTCATCAACTGTAGAATTTTTAAGGTTTATTTTTTTACTTATGTACACCTATGTATGCTGTGGATATAAACATTTTTTTTTTTGGTCCCAGGTGTAGGATGTGGGACTAATCCAGATGGTCCGCAGCAGCAGACTACTCACCTCCTGCGGGCTCTGAGAGGAGCTCTTTGCCAGCTGCAGAGAGTTTTAATCTGAGGACTCTGGAGAGAGAATGAATGCCAGATCCCAGAAAGTGTATAAGCTCCAAGAAAGAACAAGGCTACTGCTGCTTCCCCCTTAGGCTCCCAGTTGCTTTTGATGCAGTGACACAAAAAGTTAGAGATCTCCTGGAAGGAGGATTAGACTGGCTTCAAGGAACCCGATGACCGTAACCAGCAGGAAGCAGCTAAGAAAAAGAACTGCACACCCTCTCCCACTAACCTTTCTCTCTCCTATCTGGTGTTGGAATGTTGGAAGAGACTGGGATGGAGTAGGGAGAAAAAGATATAAGAAATGTAAATAAGAGTTTTTCATTACTATTATTATTAATTACAATTATTCACTTTGCATCCTAGCTGTAGCCTCCTCCCTCCTTCTTCCAGCCCTCCCATGCCTCTGCCCTAGAACCTCATCCCCTACTATCTGACCCTAGCCTGTCAAGTCTCATCAGGACTGTCTGGATCCTCTTTCTCTGTGTCCTATTAAGGCTACTTCACCAGGGGGAGGTGATCAAAGAGCAGGCAACCAAGTTCATGCCAGACACTGCCTCTGCTCCCCTTACTAAGGAACTCCCATGGAGACTGAGCTACATCTGAGCAGGAAGTCTACGTCCTCTCCATTCATAGTTCTTGGTTGATTCATCAGTATCTGGAGGGCCCCTAGGCCCATATATTTTGGCTCTGTTTGTCTTCTTGTGGAGCTCCTGTCCCCTCATGGTTTTTCTACACCCCCCCATCTTCCATAAGATTCACAATGAGGACATTTGTTCAACCATGTTCATAGCAGCTTTATTCATAATAGCCAGAATCTGGAAATAACCCAGATGGCCCTCAACCAAGAAATGGATACATAAATTGTGGTACATTTGCACAATGGTACTAGTTAGCAACTAAAAATTGGAAAATCATGGAACTTGCAGCCAAATAATGGGAACTAGAAAAGATCATCCTGAGTGAGGTAACCCAGAAACAGAAAGACACACATGGTATATACTCACTAATAAGTGGATATTTTCCATATAATAAAGGACAAACACTAAAATCTATCGTCCTAGTGAGGCTAAACATCAAGGACCCTAGGGAAGATGCTTAACCCTCATTAGGAAGGGCAAACAGGATAGACATCAGAAGAGGGAGAAAATAGGGAACATCAGTACAGGAGCCTACCACAGAGGAACTCTGAAAGACTCTACCCATCAGGCTATCAAAGCAGATGCTGAAACTCATAGTCAAACTCTGGGAAGAGCGGAGTGAATAAAAGAGTTTTAAAAACTAATGCCTCCATGTGTATCTATGTATGTTTGTGTGACACGTGAATGAACTGCCCACAGAAAGCAGGATAGTGTGTTTGATCCCCTGCAATTAGAACTGTGAGCCACATGATTTGGATGCTGGGTACTGACCATGGTTCCCATGAAAGAGCAGCAAGTGCTCTTTACCCCTGAAACATCTCTGCACCCTCAGGCATAACAATCTGTGCTTATTTTAAGATCTATACAAAATGATTTTTTCTTATATTTTATAGTTATAGTCTTGGATGCTTTGATATGCAAGTATAAATATAAATATAAATATAAATAGATTCTTTGAAGAGATAGATTACCTTTGTAGTTCACCAGGCTTCAAATTTGCAACACCACCACCCCCCATCTCTACCTGCTAGCATAACAAGTATGAGTCATCATTCCCAATCTTTAATTTTTCCTTTCTGAATTTCAGGCAATCAAAAGAGACCAAAGCAATAATGAGCTAAATCTATATGGAAATACAGCTTTTCATTTTAAATAGTACATAAAAATTTTTGTTAAGTATTTAGAGCCTGGTGTAGAATACAGATGGCCTCTCTGTGTGAATGCAATATAAAATAAGCAGAACAAAATAGCTAAAACAGCTTAAGCAGCAAACTTAAGTCTTAAAAATCTGATGCCTGTAGGGTATAATTGCGTCTCTTTCCAGGAACCCTCACACCTTGCATTAATGAGAACATTTGGATGTTATTTTTTTCATTTAACATCTCTTTGATATACAACCAAACAAAAGAGAAAAGCCTAAAAATAAATAAATAAATAAAATCTCAGTGAATCCTTAAAAATTGCAAACATTTATTGAACTCTTAAAATATATAGGTCAGTTTAAGGACATACAGATTCTTCCAATAATTCAAGAGCTAATAATTCAAATAGATTATACACTGGTAGCGCTATTCTTCTTATGAATTAATAATGAGTTTTAAATGCCAAGTTGCTCCATAGTAAATAAAATAAATTTGATTTTTACTTAGGCAGCCTATTACAGAAACAATTTTTCACTTAGAATAATTTTGCAACATGGGTAATTATCAACTTACTCAATGGATTGTAACAAGTGTTTAATCTAAATGTTTGTTTTTGTAAATCTCATGTTTTAGAAATTGCACTATACATTTTCTGGCTTAAAGATTATGCTAAATTAAATTTCACTAAAGCCTAGTCTTGCTAGGTTGTATACCTGTCGTATGCCTAACATACTACATGTGGCATATTATAAAATTTCAAAGAAATGTCACTTTAAACACTGAATTATGTGGACAACTAAATGCTCAGCTTAAGAAATTTATCAGCAGCCTCTGCTAAAATGCACTTCACGTTTTCAGTACCTGTTTCTCTCTAATACTACATACAACCAACATACAAAAGTATAAAATGTTCTTGTAAAACAAGACAAATTTTCTATTCTAAATGTGGATGTAAAAGACAAGAGGATTGTTCACTATTTTTCCACCATCATAACTCTATTAAAATGTAATAGGTGAATTTATAGCCCATCAGTTCACTAATTTCAAAATATTTCAACAAAATTATGAAAAAAAAATCTGGTAAGGTTGAAAAAGAATCAACTAAGGCAGAAGAAACATATCAGATACATGTCATAAAGATAGCTGCTAAGGGGAGGGGGTATTTCTAGGGAATTCTTTGCTATGCAAAATGGATTAATTTGCAGCTACATAAAGATAACCCTATTAGTACCTACATAATGCTTACCAGTGTGGTATAAAATTTCATTGTATATATATATATATATATATATATATATATATATATATATATATATATACACCTTGTTTCCCAAGGTAACTTGCACATATACTAGAAGTTTAATGTGAAAAATCAACATGTTTTTTGTATAAAGAAAATATACTGATTGGTTATGTGTAAAAACTCAGATCTTTAGATAACGGACTCTACTTTGTTCTCTACGTTGTACGGCATGTCCTACATGTACTTTATTTTTACTAACGCCTTAACCTGAGTATAATTGTGTCACTGCTTCATCGCCTAGGTAAATGGAAAAACTGGATGACACTTATCAAATCAAGGTGGTATGAATCCGCATCACATCTGCAAATGACCCTCCCTCTATTAAGCACTTAGGAATCCCACAATTTCTATGCATTATAAAGCAAAACTTGCCTTTTAACAAATCTTTTCCACCTACACAGAGCTCATTATTCACTCACACTTACCTCTCCTAACTAGAAAAGAATCTCAAGGTATGGCAGTAAATACTTGACATGAAACACAAATAACAAGATAATCAAGCAAGAAAATTGCTCTGAAGGAAATAGGTATATAATTCACAAGAAGATGAGCCTTAAAAATGAATCACCACCTTCGTGAGACTCAAATGATAATTTTTAGTAATGAAGTCAAACAGTATTCACATTATGATTGAAAAAGTGTTTTGCGCATGACCTAGATGGTGTAGAAAGCAGCCCAGCATCATCCTTCTCCTTACATGTGTAATAGTTGAGCAACAATTTTCAGACCAATCCCTTTTCTGAGAAACTCAGAAATTAATGGAAAGGTCCCTACATTCCATATATAAAAACATGTTCAGCAATGACAATGTTTACATCTGCATGAGTCTATGTGTGTATGAGAGTGAGTTTACGTGTGTATATATATGTGTGTGAAATCGTGCCTGCCTCCTCCAAAATATGAGTAAACAATCAAGACCCACAAAATCTCGCAAGGACTCAAAGAGATGTGTACCGACACATACTATCATCACACTATGTCAAAGATGAAGACTGGTACTTTGAATGAATCAAGAATGGGGATTGATCATATTCAAGGTAATGTCAAGAAGACTAACATTGACTTTTTATCCAGAAATCTTGAGTTAGATATGCCCAAAGTGTTCATGAAAAAAATCATTAGTCATCAAGAATACTACCAGTAGGAAAATGTTCCTTCAAAAATAAAGAAGCAATAAATTCAAAAGAAAGCCTAGAGAAGTTGTTACTTTTATAATTCCTTTTGTAGGAAAAAAAACCAAGAGAAGTTCTACAAGTCAAAATAAAGAATTCTGAGTAGCCATGT